AAATTAATAAATAAATGTTTTAAATTCTATAAAAAAATTAATGCAATTTTTCTTTAAATCAATAACAAAATTTAAATTGGAATTTCTAAAATCCAAAACTATGAAAAATCATTGAAATAAAAATACAGTCGTATTAAAAATATTTTTTTCAGGTTTATACATCTAACATTAATAGTGGGTTAGAAAAAATAAAATGCTGTCAATTTAATAAAAAAAAATGTAATATTCTCCATTAAATATTTTTAATTATTTGCTTTTAAGGTGCAGTGTGGGATTTGTATCCAGTGGTGGGGTTACGAATTGCAACCAACAAAAGTTACGGTGGCCGACAGGAAAAGATGTCATCGTCTGCGACAGCAGAGAGTAGCCAGTTAAGCAATAAGGTTTCTTTACAAAGATAAATTAAGAAATGATGTTTCTTTATTATTCAGTAAAACGATATGTTATTGTGAATATTATTGTTACTTGTTCATCATTGTCTCAGTGTTTTATTCGCTGATTTTAGCTATAGCTTCTTTGCACAAAGAACAACATAGTGATGAAACGCGCTCTGTAGTATTTTGTCTGTTTAGGGCTACTGTAGAAACATATCGGCGCAAAATTTCAATGTAAGGGGACCCATCGGTGTCCTCTGCAGATAGAAATGGCTCATTCTAAGGTAATAAAACATAACAGTTCATTAAGTAAGTTCTTTATACACCACTGAAAACATAGTTATGTATATTATATTGCATTTCTGTCTACAGATCCTCCTAAATATTACACAATGCACCTTTAATACAAAAAACATTTTTTAAACAATATGTTGTCTTTATAATGCCACACTTAACATTTAATTTATATTATATTAATATTAGAAAACAGTTAATATTTTTACTCACACAGTGTAAAAGTAGATGCTTTTATATTTTAGGAAGAGGATGCCTTCATTATATCATAATCCCGTCATTATATTTGAGTGTCCCCGGCATTAAAAAGTTTGAAGACTACTGTGCTCAAGTTCAAATATAAACAATAATAGTAGTGACACTTGACTTTGAATGTGTGTAACTACTCTTTGAATGGTTGTCAATGGAGAAAGATGTGTGGCATCTATAGAACAGGCTAATTGGACCATGCTAGCGAATCAAAGCTTGGCATGCTGATTTGAACCTCCAACCTTTTGGTTACCACCATAGACAGTATAAGAAGTGGACAGAGCCATCTCATTGGAACTCAGTTGAGACAGTTGAAGCCCATGTTTAGCGATTTCTGAGCACTTCCGTTCCTGACGCGCAGACTCAAACCGACTCAAACTAAGCTTGATGACGTGAGCAACCTGTCTGACAGACGTTAATCTTCTAGTAGCTGTGCGTGAAAATGGCCAACGTTAATCTTGCAGAGACGGGGAACTTGAGCAAAGAGTCCTTTATCGTGAGTGAGCAGGAGTAAGTATTCCGTTGCTTTTATGGACTCATTATCTATGGGCTTCTCCCTTGACGGGACGTCCCCCCGATTGCCTGCGAGCTTCTCCTCCTGTCTGTACGGTAATTTCTGTACAGCGCGACAGAGAGTCGAGTGGTTATGACGCAATCGTTAGCCTATTTTTACTAAATCTGTTTCTACGGGGCCATAATGTAACATAGAAGGTAATGGAGCGCTTTATACATTGTCGTGTTTCTTTAGAAATAAATAATGGACAAATGGAGTCTTTAAACGCCTCAGATGTAAAGTTATTCGCTGTCAAAGTGACGCCAAAATGAATGGGAGTCAATGGAAATGCTAACGCAAGTGAAGTTCTGCTACAACATGGCGGCACCCGGCCGGCTTCAACTTCCGGTCGATGGATTACCCCCTTGGTTACCACCCCAGATCTTCAACCACTGCACCATGACACCCATAGCAGAAGGACAGAAGCTACACACAGCTTCATCAGTTCACAGTTTTAGTGCTAAACTGGCTGCAGTTGTACAAGTAAACAAATGGTTTTATTGCTCTATTCTGTGTATTTCATCTTTATCGTCACAGACAATCTCTCTTTCTCTCAGCCTAGAATGAGACCAGGAGATTGCTCCTGTTGTGAGGTCTAACTGCTCTCCTTCACACACACACACACACACACACACACACACACACACACACACACACACACACACACACACACACACACACACACACACACACACACACACACACACACACACACACACACACACACACAGTTCTACAGCCCAGCCGTAATGTTCCTTGTGTGTGCTTCTGAAACCAAGCAGAGCGATAAAATTGAAAGAGAAGGTACGAATTTGGAAATAGCGACCGTGCAAGGGTGAAATTCGCATTTTTCTGTGTAGTTTGTCCCCCTAACCCAGACTAAACATCTTGTGAGCTGTGTCCCTTATTATACTCCCAAAATCCCCATCACTTACTGCTTTTACACACAGGCTGACCTACTTACAGCCGAACTCTCCGACAAGACAGTGGAGAGGTAGAGAGGATGTCCACAAGCAGAGAGTGGAAGTGTCGACCCACGTGAGGGAGGATGTGTCGGCCTCTGAGAGCTGTAATCCCTCAATGCACGTCAACAAAACAAACACAACAATCGTGCCCAGCAACAGGCAGGGGTTTGATTTGACAGAGGCGCATAAGTGTTGTCTCCTGTTGACCATGCATGTGCTTTGTGGGTGAATGCAAGTAGACCTATTATAAAGATAGACGTCAGAAATGGCAACAATTTGAAATGTGGTGAATGAGAGAGAGAGAGATACCTAAAGGGTTCCTATAATAGCAGGATGACAAGTGTAGAAAATAGAGAGAGGAAGAGAATGAGTGCAGGGGAAATGGAGGATGAGAGGGCAGTTAGATTTGAAGGAGAGGATATTGAAGTATGGAGGCTTGTTTCTGCCTCAGGGTAAAAAATGAATAATAAAATTGTGACTTTATATGTTGTAATTACCACTGTATTTCTCGTAATTGTGACTCATATCTCACAAATTATCTTTTATATCTTAAAATCTGACTTTATATCTCACAATTGCATTTTTTTAATCACAACTAAATATTTTATATGGTAAAATGTGATTATATCTCACAATTGTAACTTTTACATCTCACAATGATATTTATGTCTCAAAATCTGACTTTATATCTGCCAGTTGTGACTGCTTCTCATAATTTCATCTTTATATCTCACAACTTTATAGATCTAATGTAGCCCCGCCCCTTTTCAGCGCTGCGCTCGTTCGGTTCTCTCTTCAGGTTTGCATTTCCACATGTAAGATCTTACGGATTTATGAATGAACCGCCGCTTTTAAAACCTCCTGGTCTACTTACATCTGTTATGACATCCGCTTCAAATATTACAATGTTCATAACTTTAACTAACTCTACAATAAGCAAATCCACTTCACCAGCTAAATACTCTTCGACAGCGATGCCATAGAAATATACAGAGCTACCGAAAAAAACACAACATTCTAAAGATGGAAGCACGCTTGATTCTCTGGCGAATAAGGTTTATATCTCACAACTATCTATATCTGTCAGTTGTGACTTTGTTTCTCATAATTTCAATTTTATATCTCACAATTGTGACTTTTCAACACAACTAAATATTTTAAAATGTGACTTTATATCAAAATATTGTAAAACGCACATTTAAATAACTCAATATCTCTTAATTGTAACTTTGTTTCGTAATTGCAACTTTATATCTCATAAGTGTTACAATGTGACTTAATATCTCACAATATGACTTTGTTTCTTATTTTATGTCACAATATGACTATCTCACAATGACTATTTTTAATGTTTAATCTGATGTGGAAATGGACTCTACTGTATATTGACGTGATAAGGAAGGTTAGCTGGTTGTTGTGTTGCAATGCATTGCAGCTGGATGAGCTGTGACTATAAGTTTGGGTCCAAATGCTTAATAAGACTTTGGAATTATGTGAAACGAGTTTGGGTCTGTGTTAGAAAAGGTTCAGAACTGGTCATGATATAGCATGTTGTGTGGATACCATTGTTACTGTGAATTAGGTTGCACGTCAAGTTTATTATTGCTCTGTGGCATTGGTATAAAAAAATTCTGGTTGAAAAGTTGATGAGTAATAATGCAGTATAACACATCTGAGGTAATGGATTCAATTGTCGAATGATTAACAGTACTCTGGCTCTGCCCCCACATTATGCATTCTGCACAAATTATATTTTCTAAATTCAGAACACTTGATGTCAGAATCCGTTGCCATGTCTGCATAGTTTAAGCACCTTTTATGTTCTTTTTTTCTGTAAAGTCACGGTTTCCAGTTTTGATGGTTCATTTACAGTTACTATCCCACACAACAATTAACACCATCAACCCACACAAATGTGCGGTGTATTTTAGTGAACTGAGTCGCTTACTTCGGGCTTTTTTTGTCTTCGTTTTTTGGGTTATTTTTTCTAGTGAGATCTGGTCTCGCAGAGACAGACTTTGGCTTATCTAAGCTGCAGTTTATTCTGGTCAAGAAATGCCCACCTAGACAGGAAGAGACCATTTGACCGGTGTGTACAGAAACCAGAGTTTGTTTTAGTTTGTGCGAGTTGTTTAGGGGTGGGTAAATCTGAAATCAATGAAACAACAATACTGTAATAGTGTGGAAAAACTCAAATTATGATGCGACAGAAAAGTAGTAGACCATTTATCCAAAAGTAATAAGTACTGATATTTTCACAGAGAAAAATAAAGCAGAATATAAAATTGCTGAAAATCTGGTTTACTTGATACCAAGTTCCTCAAACAACTTTCAAAACTACTTGATTATATAAACTTGTTCTCAAAATATCAGTTACTTTTCATTTGAAAGGAATGTAAAGTGACCAGAATAGATATATTGTACGTATATTGTAAGATTTTCTAGAGCAGTCCACACAAGCAGGGGCAAGACAACAAAGTTCTTCGCATTAATAGAGAGAGAACTGGGATTTATTCTCCAATAAAGCTGGGTTTATACGCGACCAATATAAACAGGCTTACATAC